CTTTTGGTTCAACTTTCAGCAAGGAATTTGCATTTGCACAGTTAAATTTTTATGTAGCTTTAATGCACATAAAAAACAGCTGCTTGTTTAAGTGAAAATAAATGCATGGGGGTTTTTTTTGCGCTAGTAAAGTTGTGGAGTTGTATTTTGTCTCGCATCAATTAAATCGTCAGTTATATTGTCATCGCAAATTTTCAAATATATATCGTGATAAATATTTTTGGCCATATCGCCCTGCTCTAGTCAGTAGCACGAGCTGAGGATCGGGACTTTTTCAGAGCAGGCTAATGACTGACCTCGAGCTGTGGATGGACCATCTCAGCTGAAGTTTGCTCTGTGTTCAGCGTCGTCTTCCTGTCATGTGATGGTGTTGTCTTCGCCTTCCAAGACCTTTAAGAAGAACTTTGCTGAGAACAGTGTAACCCTCGTCCTCCAAAGAGCTGTGAATGTTTTAGTCTGATCACAGATCTGTAGCCACCAGGCAGCACATCGTTATCTGTCAGCTAGACAGATAACAAATCACATGCTTTTATGTGATGTCGGCCCACCCTTTGCAGCTGTAACCTATTCGGCTGTTTTGGGAAGTCTTTCCACAGGTTTAGGAGTGTTTATGGGAACTTCTGATCAGGAACATATTTGTGAGGTCACACTGATGTTGGACGAACAGTCCTGCCCCACAGTCTCTGATTTACCCCAAAGGTGTTCTGTGGGGCTGAGGTCAGGACTCTGTGCAGGCCGGTCAAGTTTTTCCACACCAAACTGGCTCATCCATGTCTTTATGGACCTGCTTTGTGCACTGGTGTGCAGCTGAGTTAGAACAGGAAGCTCCATCCCCAAACTGGCCACACAAAGTTGGGAATATGAAACTGTCCAAAATGTCTTGAGCATGAAGAGTTCCCCCCTAACTGGAGCCCTCACACCATAACCCCCCCTCCACCAAACTTTACACTTGGGACAGTGCAGTCAGACAAGTGCCGTTGTCCTGGCAACAGCCAAACCCAAACTCCAGAAGGAGAAGTGTGATTCGTCACTCCAGAGAACACATCCTTTGTTACCAGCAGCCGGTTTGGACCGTCAGCTGGTCATCTACTGTTCTCATCACAAAGGGTCTCACTGTCAGTGGCTTCTATCTCCTCCTTTGGCCAGCTGACTCCTCAGGACTTGCCTGACCCTCTGCAGGTACTTGGTGGTTGCAGCTTTCCCAGCAGCCTCTTCATGGTTCCCATTTGCCTGTGGGATTCCCAGGTACTTGTAGCTGTCCTCTATGTCTGCAATGTTGCCTCCTGGTAGTTCGATCCCCTACGTTCTGACTACCTTCCCTCTCTTTGTTATCATCCGACTACATTTCTCCAGTCCAAATGACATTCCGATGTCATTGCTGTATAGCCTGGTAGTGTGGATCAGTAAGTCAGCTTGATGTCATCCACGTACAGGAGGTGGCAGACACCTGTTCCACTCCTTAGTTGGGATCCATAGCCAGTCTTGTCAATTATCTCACTGAGGGGGTTCAGGCCTATGCAGAACAGCAGTGGGGACAGAGCATCTCCTTGGTAGATCCCGCACTTGATGGTGACTTGCGCTATGGGCTTGGAGTTGGCCTCTAGTGTTGTACGCCACATCCCCATTGAGTTCCTGATGAAGGCTCTCAGGGTCCTGTTGATCTTGTACAATTCTAGGCATTCCAGTATCCAGCTGTGGGGCATTGAGTCATAGGCCTTCTTGTAATCAATCCAGGCAGTGCACAGGTTGGTCAGTCTGGTCTTGCAGTCTCGGCTGACTGCTGCTAGTACTTCCCAGTTTAGTTTCATGTTATTTTGTATCGCTGTTATCTCTTGTCATCTTTTGTCAGCAATAAAGCTGTATTTTGAGTTCAGTCCTGTTTCCCCGTGAGTTTGCGTTTGGGTCCTATTTCCTGCCTGCCACACAGCCAGTCCATGACATGACAGGAGCTTCCAGGTGGTGCTGAGGCAGGTTATTGGTCGGTAGTTGGAGGGGACCGGTCCCTTCTGGGGGTCCTTGAGGATCAGGACTGTCCGGCCTTCGGTTAGCCATTCTGGGTGTCTCTCATCAACCAGCAGCTGGTTCATTTGTGCTGCCAGACTCTCGTGGTGTGCAATCAGCTTCTTCAGCCAGTAGGCGTGAACCATGTCGGGGCCTGGTGCTGTCCAGCTCTTCATATTGGAGAGTCTTTCTTGGATGTCTGCCACTGTGATGGTTACTGGACCCTGTTCAGGGAGGTTGCTGTGATCTGCCCTCAGATCCACTAGCCACTGAGCATTGTTATTGTTCCGTCTGTAATGATAAGCAGCTGTTGCTGTGAGTTAACATAGTTTCATGCCATACCACAAGGTGGCACTATCTGTAAAGAACACGGGCATGAGCGCTAAGAGGTGAGGGGTGGTTGTTGTTTTTCCGGCTAACCAAGCATGGTTAATAAAGTATGTCGCAGATCACAAAAGGACTCTTTCTTCATAAATAAGGAGACAAACAAAACAGCGTCCTTCTCCCATATGCTCTTCCAGTACTGCTCAGCCTTGGTGGTGCTGTTCTCATATTGTTCCCTTGCCACTGAGAGTACACCTTGGCTGGTTCTGTGGAGAGCAGCTGGTTCATTGTCCTGCCTTTGATCTCTCTGGTGTACCTCTTCAAGCGGCTGGCCAAGGCTGTGAGTCGCTGCTTGGCAGTGTCCAAGGCCTCGGGTATGGACACCTTCTTCATCGCACCTTTCTGCAGATCTGCAGTCGGCTAACCTCCCTCTGTGCTACCTTGATCTTGGCCTCTAGTCTCCTTCTCCATGGTGGGTACTGCTCCTTGTAGCTGTTCATTTTGTAGCCCAGCATCTCACTGATGACTGCTGGCAGGTGTAGTTCAGCTGGTGTTGCAGCATTGGTTTCTACTTCATAGCAGGCTTGAGCCTTTGTGGTTCCCGGGTTATTCCTGAATATCCTAACCACTTTCCTCTGATCTGAGGGGGACAGTTTGGATGTTTTTCCCAGACTTCGGGAAAGGGTAACAGATCTGAATAACTTGAACTTGTGTACAATTGTTTAAGCTGATCTTGAATCTGCAGATATTTAGAAACCGTCATTGACTTCTTTGGACTTTCACTTTGATCAATCCAATAAGTGCATTTCAACAAATCCATTTTATGCTGCAGTCAGTCATTAGGAGAGACAGCGCATCATGTTCAAAGACATTTTTGAACCTTCAGAATTACTTATTAAAATTTAACTTGTTAAAGGTGGCTGTAAATTTTAGTCTGTGTGTATATTTAACACTGTGTGGAATAGAGAACAATCAAAAACACTCAGATTAGTTTATGTTTATCGGGTCAGGAGTTTGAATTAATTTGCCAGCTTTTCCAATTTAAACGTTATACAGGCTGGGCCATTTATATGGATACACCGTAATAACATGGGAATGGTTGGTGATATTAAAGTCCTGTTTGTGTATATGTGAGGGGGCAAACTCCTCAAGATGGGCGGTGACCATGGTGGCCATTTAGAAGTCGGCCATCTTGGATACAACTTTTGTTTTTTCAATAGGAAGAGGGCCATGTGACACATCAAACTTATTGGTAATGTCACAAGAAAAACAATGGTGTGCTTGGTTTCAATATAACTTTATTCCTTCATGAGTTATTTACAAGTTTCTCTTTGTTCACAGCCATTGACATGTCGAAGAGGTTAACACGTGAGGAGCGAAATCGTGTTGATATCTGGTGAACGCAGTAACCGGGTCATTGGAGCAGATTTCAATGCAAGACACCCTACGAGACCACCCATCTCCATGCTACAGTCAGCAAACTGCTTGCTAAGTTTGGTGAAACTGGTTCAGTGTTGGATTTGCCAAAATGTGGACGCAAGAAAACTGTCACTGATGAAGAAACATCAGTGGCTGTCCTAGCTTCATTCAGCAAGAGCCCACAGCGTAGCACTCGCCGCATGTCACTGGAGAGTGGCATTAGTCGAACATCCCTTCGGTGGATATTAGCTACTCACAAATGGCACCCTTACAAACTCCAGCTACTGCAGCATCTCAGAGGATGACCCAGATCGGCCACAGAATTTGCAAAATGGGCAAAACAAAAACTGGAACAGGACCCTCAGTTCACGCAGAAGATTTTGTTCAGTGATGAGGCAAACTTTTATGTGAATGGTGAAGTTAACAAACAAAACCAGCGCTATTGGTCTGACACTAACCCACAGTGGATGGATCCCTCCAAGACTGTTGGAACAACAAAAGTGATGGTTTGGTGTGGTATATGGGGCACAACGATAGTGGGTCCATTCTTCATCAATGGAAACCTCAAGGCTGCTGGATATTTGAAATTGCTACAGGATGATGTGTTTCCCTCTTTACGCACTGAAGCTGGCACGTTCCCTCAGTTTTTCCAGCAAGATGGTGCACCACCACATTATGGGTGCAGGTCCAAGCATTCCTAGATGAACAGTTTCCTGGGAAGTAGATTGGTCGTCGTGGGCCAGTTGAATGGCCCCCAAGGTCTCCCGATCTGACCCCCTTAGACTTTTATCTTTGGGGTTATCTAAAGGCAATTGTCTATGATGTGAAGATACGAGATGTGCAGCACCTGAAACTACGGATACTGGATGCCTGTGCTGGCATTTCTCCTGCGGTGTTGCTATCAGTGTGTGAAGAGTGGGAGAAGAGGGTTGCACTGACAATCCAACACAATGGGCAGCACATTGAACACATTTTATAAGTGGTCAGAAACTTGTAAATAACTCATGAAAGAACAAAGTACACCATTGTTTTTCTTGTGACATTACCAATAAGTTTGATGTGTCACATGGCCCTCTTCCTATTGAAAAAAACAAAAGTTGCATCCCTGGCCCATCCTGTAGTTCTTTTTTCCCTGTAAAATTTGAACACATCAAAAATGAATTGCTTATTATGCTTATTGAAGGACTTCATAAAGTCACGACTCCCTGACAAACGGAAACAACGGTTTAATACATTTCTGGGTAAAAACGACCCTCTGCAGGTTTCAGCAGTTTGATTTTATTTGAAGAAAATAATCTGGAACATAAAGACAAACATTTATACAACCGGTAAACACGGCTTTCACATGTGCTTCGTCATTTTGGTTGTTTAGTAGAAAACCAACTCACTCTGGGCCTTTGGGGTTCGAATTCTTTACAGGAAATAAACTAAAGTGATAAACATGGTTCATATTTGAATCACTTCACAAAAAGAAACTTCAAAACTACAATCAGTCATCAGTTTATCAGGACGGGTTTCCCTCCTATCACAAACACAGACATACAACAGCACACGCACGGAGTGGGCGGGGCCTGAGAGGACAGGTGTGTCTTCTGTTAGCAGGTTGAAGGTTTGGCACAAAGTGAACTCACTTTGATACTGTCACGTCCAGGCTGTTAAGGGTCTACCCTTAGGTCCTCCTGTGGGATTCTGGGAAATGAACCCAGCCCACAGCAGCTTGTCCAGGTCTCAGACACCTGGTCAGAGGGTCCAGAGGAGTTTGACAGGTAAAAATAAATACATTCAGACCTGAGAGTCCAGACGGGTGTCCACATACGAGTGAGTAAATCCAAAACCAGGGCTGGTTGTGGCCTGGTTCAGGGCTGACTGCGGTTCAGGGTTTAGAGGTTTTTATCTCGGCTCCGTCGGGACGGACTCCTCGGCTCTGGTCCAGTCGTGGCTTCACTCGACCCCAGAAGGACCAGAGTCTGTCACATGTTTATTTAAGATAATTCTCAGGGTCAGTTACACGGTTGTGGGTCTTCGTCCTCGGCCACAGAGCTTGTTCTTCATTGCTCGTGTTCCCAGCGAGAGGAAGCGTTCAGCTTCGCCTCCACAGACAAACATCACTTTGTTTGTGCCGCTCACATTTGGTCTAAACTCCTGCCATCTGATCAGGCGCCGATCAGTCTATGAGAAAAAGCCCTGAACCAGAACCAGCTCTGGTCCTGGCTCCACCCGGGCCGGTCCGGGTCAGACGTGGAGGCGGGAGGAGCGGAGCTTCCACCTCCTGGATCGCACTTTAAAGAAGAAGAAGAGGAGCATGAGGAAGAGGCAGGAGCACACGTACAGCACCACACACAGACTCATGTCCACACTGTTAAAGCCTAGAAGCCAGACTCCGCCCCCTCCTCCAGCCACACCCACCACCTCCCTCCTCTCCTCCCCCTTCACAGCCTGGCGTCCTGGACGAGGAGTCTGGGTGGAGGACTTCTTCTCCGAGTCGCTCCTCACGCCTCCTTCGTGCTCCTTGGGAACTGGAGGAGCAGGAAGTCGAGGGGGGGTCACGGAGTACTCGGGGGACAGGTTTGAGGCGGCGTAGTGTTGTCGTAGAAAGCGGAGGACGTTGTCCTGGTTCCAGACGTGGACGCCGTTTTTCTCCTCGTGGCAGGAAGCGCAGAGGGAGGGGCTTGGCCATGGAGCTTTAGGGAAGAGGGGGTCGTCGCTCAGAGAGCCTGGAAGGGCGGGGGGAGAAGAGGAGGGTCAACAAGGTTCGGATGACAGCGATCATCAATAAATCTGATCAATAATTCTGATGCTCAGCAAGCTTCCTGTGTGTATAAAGACTGCGCGCGTGCGAATGTCCGAGTGTGCACGCGCCTGTCTGTGCGCGCGCCTGTCTGTGCGTGTTACCTGCCAGCCTCATGTTGCCCCGGTTGTGTTGCTGCCACAGCCAGAGGATCTGCTGCTCTCTGTTCTGTACGTTGTCCATGCCGACCGCTGCCGCCTGCTCGAAGTGCCGGCCGCACTCCCGGCAGCCAAAGAAGGTTCGGATGTAGCGGCGCATCATCTGCAGCACCGGCGCCGCCTCAGCCTCCAGACCTGTGTCACAGAGGCAGGTCCGTTTAGAGTCACTGGTGGGTTTTATTGCTCTGCTCGTGCACAGCGGCTGTTTTCAGGGAGCGCTGCAGACGAGCAGAGCTCTGATCCCTGAACACTGAAAGGGAAACGTTCTGGAATTTTCCTTTGAGTTACAACAACAACTGAATGAAGTGGAAAACAAAACTGAGCTCAGCTGTGGGGCGATCACACTGTTGGACTGGCACCAAACATCAGACACACACACACACACACACACACACACACACACACACAGACACACACAGACACACACACACACACACAGAGACAGAGACACACAGACACACACACACACAGAGACACACACACACACACACACACACACACACACACACAGAGACACACAGACACAGAGACACACACAGAGACACACACACACACAGAGACACAGAGACACACACAGAGACACACACACACACACAGAGACAGAGACACACACAGAGACACACACACACACAGAGACAGAGACACACACACACACAGAGACACACACACACACACACACACAGAGACACAGAGACAGATACACAGAGACACACACACACACACACACACACACACAGAGACACAGAGACAGATACACAGAGACACAGAGACACACACACACACACCTGTGTTGTCCAGTGCGGTGGGGTTGGCATCATGTTGAACAGTCAGAACATGGAACAGGGTCCAGAGGGAACACGGGTAGCCTCGAAGCCCCGCCCTACTCCCCTGGCAACCCACCCAACGAAGCTCCGCCCCTAGGAACACACCTGAGATCTACACAGGAAGCGGGAAGTCAGCATCTGTGTGTGTGTCGGCTGTAATACTGTACCAAAGTAAAGTGTTAGTGTAATCAGATTACATTCTGTAACAGCAGTGTGACAAGTTACTTTCTCCAGTGAGTAACTACATAAGGCTCTGTATGACTGATGTGTAATCTATTACTCGTTTCCTGAGTATCGACCGCAGCACTGGCGTTCAGCGTCTCACCCTCATCTTGTTATCCACCAGGTCCAGGACGGCCTGGTACGGGATTCGCTGCAGCGGCATGCTGAGCAGCCAATCAGAAAGCGTCTCCATTAACTTCACCACAGAGCCGCCACCTGGATACAGCTGCAAACACAGAGAGGCGTCAGTTTGTGCTTAAATGAACGAGACGGTGACAGCAGCTGTGGCGGGTTTGTGAGCTCAGAGGGACGCTGAATCCCATACAGGATGAACACGATGGCAGGTCTCCATGTCAACACTTTCATTGATCATGCGTGAGAATCACGCCATCTTGGAGGAGGAGCTAAAACAGCTTGTTTCAGGCACAGGCTGCACTGAGTATTATGAACTGTGAGTTATGCAAAGCTGCTCTGCTTGCCGTGGTTACCTTTGCCACTAAAGTCACCAAGTCCTTGAAGATCTTTAGCTCCTCCCCTTCCAGTGTATTATGGGTAGCCAGCTCGACCCTCAGCAGGTAGTGGAGCGCTGTCTCCAAGTCGGCCGTGTACACCTTAGACCTGCAGAGACGTACAGGTCACCTGATCTGAGGTCCGAGTCATTCTACCTGACCCGATCAGAGCGAGTCTCTTACCTGTCAAAGTCCCTCCATGGTTCTGTGTTCTGTTTGCCCGGCAGCGCCCCCACTTGGCTCGCACCGGAACTGCTGGTGCTGCTCGACTTTAAACGGCGCTGGACTCCAGGTAACGTCCTCAGCAAGGAGGAGAAGAAGAAACGCAGCGGCTTCTCGCTGCAGAAGGAGGTGTCAGTCAGAAAATCGAACATCGGTTACTCCCCCTGTTACTGTCCAAGGGTTCAACTTTACCTGTGCAGGTGTGCATGTGTCCCATTGGGATGAAGCAGGTAGATGGCAGGGAAGGCAGTGAGCTTCAGAGCGTCCACCAGGGGGCGATCAGAGCTCAGAGCTCTCTTCACCTGCACACCCAAATACTGCAGCAGGTCCAGGATCACCTGGAGACACACAGGTTTGTACAGGTGAGGACACCAACCAACACCTGCTGCACCCGTACGGAACACAGACTGTATATTAAAGATGGCCATAACTACCATGATGTCACTCTTGGGGTGGGCATTTGTACCACCTCCATCTTTATAACTTGGATGTAACTAGCCCCGCCCTGAATGCTCCCCTGCTTCCTGTTCCTCTGACTCTAACGGGACCATCATCTCCAACATAAACGTCATGTTTATTCTGTCACAGCTGAAACTGCTGATGAGAACTCAAACTCATCAGCAGCAAGTTTCCAGGTGAGCTCATTGCAGAGTGTCGCCCCCTGCTGGACATCAGAGAGACATGAGGCTGAAGCGCTCCTTCAGACAGATGCACTGATGTACAGACGGGCAAAGTGTGCTGTAGGAAAGCAGGATAGGAAGTCCTCAGCAGGTTGGTGGTGACTGAACTTTCAAAATAAGAGCACAGACTGTATTGTAAACGTATATAGACGGAAGCTACACTGAGTTTTCTAAATCGACGCGCTCGTCTCCGTGTGTTGCAGGTTTATCGGACAGCGCTTCCTGTTCCCGTTCTGATCTGTGACTTTGACCGAGTCTCCTCTTTCCTGTTCTGGTTACCTCTCGCCCCACGTACGAGTCCGGTTCCTCCACCAGGATGGCCGTGTAGTGATCTGACCTTTGACCCAGCAGAGGTAGCAGTTGAGCAGCGCTGCAGACGAACATAAAGAGCGAGGTTAGCAGTGGCACAGACTCCGACCCGGTCCAGGTTTAGGTCCAGGTACCTGTAGGGCTCTAAAGGAGGGCAGTGCTTGGGCCGGTCCAGATTAGTGTGGTTCTGCAGGACGTTCACCATCAGCTGACGGACAGACGGGATCGACCGGTCTGCACCTGCACACACAGTCATCGTTTTTTACAACATAAACAAAAATACATGTCTTTATTTAAAAGGTCGACTCTTGTGTTTGTTTTTAATCGAGTCCTAAGGAAGGAAGGAAGGAAGTGAGCGGGACGTTCAGGTGAGTCTCACCTCTGTAGGTCGTCCCTCGCTCCGATGGTGGACTGTGGGCCCAGAAGAACTGAGGATAGAAAAATGAGGTGGTTATTACCCATCAGCCCCTGCGGGGGGCGACACTAACCGGCAGCAGTGTAAACACCTGCAGCAGGTACATGCTGACGTACCTTGAAGGTGGGGTAGAACTTGATGCTGTAGTCCTTACAGACGTCAAAGTTTTCCTCCTGAGCGCAGTCCAACACACCCACGCTGATGGCATCCTGCCAGTCTGACACACACACACACACACACACACACACACACACACACACACACCTTCTTTAACCTGCTGACAGGTGCCATCCAGTTTGGAGGTGGACGAGCTCGTTATGTGTGGAGTCGTCGTGAGTTACGATGACGCGATTCATCAGAAGTGCACTCGCTCACTTTCTAATAGCAGTAACGAGCGTGCGCCTAAGACTCGCCATTCATCCCTTTTCACCCCGCGGACGCCTGCACGACGGTTAGACAGACCGACAGCGGGAGAAACACAGGCTGAATGCAGACCGAGGTCCAGGTGTGTTTCAGCCACAGGTGTGTCGTTCAGGCCAAAGTTCAAACAGGTGCCAGAAACATCGATTTCCTCTGGTTTTCATTCTTCTACTTTGTCTCTTTGATGGTAACGCAGAGAGAGCGTGCAGTTACCCCCTGCAGCCTGCAGAGGGCGGCAGCAGTCACCATTTACCTCTGCAGGTTTAAAAGGAAGCGTGTGTGTCACTGTGTGTGTGTTAGTCAGGGCGTGTTTCGGGACTGGTTGTTTTGTCGGTTGCACACGGTTTGAGACTGTGTGAGCGTTGCTGAGTCCTGAAGCAGGCTGCAGCCCCGTGCTGCAGCCCCGTGCTGCACAGGTATCAGGTACTTCTATTTAAAGCAGCTCCCTTCACCAGTTTATCCACAGCACTGTGCAAAAGTCCTGAGCCGCCCCTCATGTCTTTATATTCCAGAGGAAAATTTGAAATATGTGCAGCGCTTTCTGGAAATGTGCAAACACAAATGTCTGTGACTGGACATGACTCTTCACGCTGCTCATGTGCTGTAGAAAGTCCAGTTTCATTGCATTTTTTAGGACACACTGCAAAGCATGCTGGGAAACGATTCTGGTTATTAGCAGTCCAAAAATCTTGGGCAGTGATTACTCAAGACTTAAAAAACGACAACAGTGTGTCTCCTGCAAAATATAAAGAGATGTGGGGCAGCTCAGGACTTTTGCACAGTGCTGTAGATGAAGGGTGACACTTGGATTAAAATGTGACGCCTGTTGCACTCAGTGACGCTGGGCTGACTTTAACTGGCTTCAAATCCAAAACCTGTGTTACAACGACCGCTTCCAATACTTATTATTGCTAATGGAACTGAAACTTTCATGTAGTCTTCCTCAGAACAACATGTTTGTGCACACGTGCAGTGATCCGGCCTCGCTGGGAGGTCGGGTTGTTTCATCAGAAACTGGTTAAACTCTCATAAAAAAACTTTCTCAAATCTCCTCGCTGCCTCTGTGGCAGGGAGGGGCTGTGACACAGGGGACGCAACAGGAAGAGGAAGTGAGGAAACCTCATGAGTGTTAGACAGAAGCTGCTGCAGAGCCCACATACTCCTCTGACAAAGGTCCAGAACACCAGAGAAAAAGTCTGAAGACCTCCAAGTGTTCAGGAGGGCTGAGCAACCCCAGGCCTCCCCCAGAACAGAGAGCCTCGTATGGCTTTACTGGCGTTGGGTGACGAAAACATCCACAAAATTCACTTTACATCCAGATCACAGAGGACAGGAGCGCTTTAAACGTTGTTATGATCCAATGTTGTCAGTGTTTTGTGTTAGGCGTGACTGTTATGTGTTTCCTGTTTTACTTTGAAGGTCTGTCTTATCTCAGTGTGTTCAGTTTACGCTTCCTTGTCTCGTCAGTTCTGATTCGCCCCAGCTGTGTTTCCCTCCTGTTGTCCATTCCCTGATTGCTCCCTCTATGTATTTAAGCCCTGTGTTTCAGTTTGTCGTGATCGCCCCCTGTGTTGTAAATAGATGTAAATAGTTGTCGATACTGTTTTTACTCGGTAGCTGTAGGGGTGAGAAGCCATTTTTCTTTGGGAACCTTTTCTCCTGTTTTTGGTTAGGGAGGCAGGTAAGACACCTGTAAATTATGTTTGGGGTTTTCTGTGAAGGTAAGCCAGCTGCATTTCATTTCTAGAGTTTTTGTTTGTTTTGGCCATGCTCACCCTGATGCCTGCTACCTTTTGGGACTCAATAAACTGACTGGCTGTTGTGAAATCTGTGGTAGCTGTTTTTTGTTGGTTCGTCCTCCTTAAGAGCAGGGAGTGGGGGGGCATTTTTCCTTATTTTTATTTTCCTTATGTCGCACGCCGGTTTTCCCTGGGCTGGGGTGTAACAACGTACAGGTGAGAGGTTTAGGAAAAACAGTCTGCAGGGAAAGACGACGCAGGTGACGGTCAGAGGGAGGGTCCTCACGTGGACAGGTATACAAACATGTGAATGGAAACTGTGTGTGTTCGATCTGGTGGGAAAAGATTAGGAGCCGCAGGTGCTTCAGTACAAACACCATCGGGTCCTCAAGCTCCGGAGGCCCAGGAGGGACACGTCTGCATTGGTGACTCCAGTAACAAACATCAGTGTTTACCTTCAGCCACCTTCTGGGCCCTGTTTCAGGAAGCCGGTTTAGTGCAAACTCTGAGTAAGTATACAGTGGGGCAAAAGAGTATTTAGTCAGCCACCGATTGTGCAAGTTCCCCCACCTAAAATGATGACAGAGGTCAGTAATTTGCACCAGAGGTACACTTCAACTGTGAGAGACAGAATGTGAAAAAAAAAATCCATGAATCCACATGGTAGGATTTGTAAAGAATTTATTGGTAAATCAGGGTGGAAAATAAGTATTTGGTCAATAACAAAAATACAACTCAATACTTTGTAACATAACCTTTGTTGGCAATAACAGAGGTCAAACGTTTACTATAGGTCTTTACCAGGTTTGCACACACAGTAGCTGGTATTTTGGCCCATTCCTCCATGCAGATCTTCTCGAGAGCAGTGATGTTTTGGGGCTGTCGCCGAGCAACACGGACTTTCAACTCCCGCCACAGATTTTCTATGGGGTTGAGGTCTGGAGACTGGCTAGGCCACTCCAGGACTTTCAAATGCTTCTTACGGAGCCACTCCTTTGTTGCCCGGGCGGTGTGTTTTGGATCATTGTCATGTTGGAAGACCCAGCCTCGTTTCATCTTCAAAGTTCTCACTGATGGAAGGAGGTTTTGGCTCAAAATCTCACGATACATGGCCCCATTCATTCTGTCCTTAACACGGATCAGTCGTCCTGTCCCCTTGGCAGAAAAACAGCCCCATAGCATGATGTTTCCACCCCCATGCTTCACAGTAGGTATGGTGTTCTTGGGATGCAACTCAGTATTCTTCTTCCTCCAAACACGACGAGTTGAGTTTATACCAAAAAGTTCTACTTTGGTTTCATCTGACCACATGACATTCTCCCAATCCTCTGCTGTATCATCCATGTGCTCTCTGGCAAACTTCAGACGGGCCTGGACGTGCACTGGCTTCAGCAGCGGAACACGTCTGGCACTGCGGGATTTGATTCCCTGCCGTTGTAGTGTGTTACTGATGGTGACCTTTGTTACTTTGGTCCCAGCTCTCTGCAGGTCATTCACCAGGTCCCCCCGTGTGGTTCTGGGATCTTTGCTCACCGTTCTCATGATCATTTTGACCCCACGGGATGAGATCTTGCGTGGAGCCCCAGATCGAGGGAGATTATCAGTGGTCTTGTATGTCTTCCATTTTCTGATGATTGCTCCCACAGTTGATTTTTTCACACCAAGCTGCTTGCCTATTGTAGATTCACTCTTCCCAGTCTGGTGCAGGTCTACAATACTTTTCCTGGTGTCCTTCGAAAGCTCTTTGGTCTTGGCCATGGCGGAGTTTGGAGTCTGACTGTTTGAGGCTGTGGACAGGTGTCTTTTATACAGATGATGAGTTCAAACAGGTGCCATTCATACAGGTAACGAGTGGGGGACAGAAAAGCTTCTTACAGAAGACGTTACAGGTCTGTGAGAGCCAGAGATTTTCCTTGTTTGAGGTGACCAAATACTTATTTTCCACCCTGATTTACCAATAAATTCTTTACAAATCCTACCATGTGAATTCATGGATTTTTTTTTCACATTCTGTCTCTCACAGTTGAAGTGTACCTCTGGTGCAAATTACTGACCTCTGTCATCATTTTAAGTGGGGGAACTTGCACAATCGGTGGCTGACTAAATACTTTTTTGCCCCACTGTACCCTGAGTTAACAAAAACTCTGGGTTTTCGGTTTCACAAAGCGAGTTTAGATTAATTCTGAGTGAGTTACTATGACGACACACTCCGTGAAGCTAACCTGCCCCCTAGCAGGTTTACTACAACTAACCCTGACTGTCTCCGCCCCTTTGTCGGAAACCTGACTGTAGGAAGTGTCAGACATGGCGTGCTCCTTCCTTGAAGAGCCAGTAGATGTTGAAGCCCAAATTCTCCGCAGAGCTCTCCGCCGGGAGAGAGTGATCAGAGCGCGTTTGGACATTTTATCATTTCCTGATGATTTCCTGTGTGAACGTTACCGTTTTTCAGCACAATCTATAATTTATTTGGATAACATCCTCAGGCCTAATATTGCTCATGTGACACATCGCGGACATCCTCTCAGTTCTGTACATATTATTTGTATTGTACTTCGGTTTTTTGCAAACGGAAGCTTTCTGTATAATATTGGTGACGCTGAGCACGTTTCCAAGTCTGTCGGGCAGTCAGGAATGTTACAGTTGCACTGAAACGTCTCCTGTACCCATTTGTGGTGTTCCCCGGTCATAGACCCACAAGATTTATCAAAGAGGGATGCCACAAAATTGCAGGTAGCAGGATGACCAAAACTTAATTTATGATGTGGTGATATTTGAACTACTACTTAAATTTTACATTTATGTTCACGGTTCCCAGGCGTGATTGGCTGTATAGATGGCACTCACATTCCAATCATTGCTCCTTCAGTAAATGAAGGAGACTATGTGAACAGGAAGTCTTTCCACAGCGTTAATGTACAGGTACATAGTTCCCTGTAGCATTTCAAACTAACAAATTATTTCATTATAGTAATGGATGCTAATTTGTGTTCTCTGCACTGTGAAGATCATATGTGATGCTGCCAACATTATCACAAATGTGGAAGCCAAGCGGCCAGGCTCTGTGAGTGGTGGTGGTGGAGGACCCCCACCTGTTTTTCTGTTGGCTATAACGGGTCACATTTGAGCATACAGAGTAAGCAAATATGTACTTGTAATGTGCTCAGATAATTTCAATAAGTGCTTACAGAGGGGAAATTAATGTAGCCTCTAACTGCAATTGATTTACATCGGACAAACAGACCAAGCACTATGGCTCATAATACAATTACACCTTACCTGTTTGGACTATATTTTTATATTTCATTTTTACTTGCTGCCAGGAACGTTTGGGGCCTGTTGGGTTGCACCTGCGCTCACATCACATCACAAAATAAAATGTATGAAATAAAAAATAAAATGAAATATAATATAATAACGTGTTAAATGGGTGGAAATCCCTAGATCAATGTTTAAATTAACACTCACGCATTGACTCTGTCGGCTATGTTTTGCCATGCATGCTCACTTTCTTTTGCAGCTGAGGCTGTGTTACTTTTTTTCCGCATAATTTGCATGTTATCGGCATATGCTGCCATCAGAATTTCGGCCTCAAGCGCTGTAAAATACATTGACCGCGCCTTCTTTCCCTCCGTCTCCATGGTGACTCGCTTAATCTGTGCTCCACTAATCAAGGGTCCGTTTTTCGTACCTCGCTAAGTAAGTTAGCCGGATTTGATTGTTGACGATTTCGCGTGATCTTGGATCGTTCGGTTCTCCGAAGCCCATCCGGGACTTGCTGTCATAGCAACAGAGCCGTAAGCGTAAACCTGCTCGGGAGCAGGTTTACTTTATGTAAACAGGATTAGATCGCGGCCACGCAGGTATGTCCGCTTCATTTATACGAAAGCAACAGCGATATTCCATCACTGTTTTACCATAAATAAATAACATCAATGTAACTAAAGTTAATGCAGCACCTGATCCTTTTATTGATGTCACACAGATACATACAGGTCATTTCCTAAAAAAGGGAAATGTACTATTAATCATTCTATTACATGTATGTGATTATTACAGATGTAATTCATATTTTAGAGTAGTAATAGTAAATTACTTCGTGTAATCAAGATGAGAGACCACGGCTATAAAAGCGAAGGTGGATTTGGGAAGCCTGTCGCAGCCATGTCCTGTCCGTATACGCGAGCCACCCATTGCGGAAGGTGCAAGATTGATAAGGAGGGTCCTCAGAATTCAGCCTGGCTTCTGTCAGTCTGCCCCAGGGCAGCTGTGGCTACAACTGTAGCTGCCTCCACCAGTGTATGAATGTGAGAGTGAATGAATAGTGGCATTGTAAAGCGCTTTGGGTGCCTTGAAAAGCGCTATATAAATCCACTCCATTATTATTATTATTCTTAAATTACTTACGAGTTTAATTTGTCAGCAACTTCCTGCCAGCCCTCGCTCCTTGCTTTTGCAGCCTTTGCAGTGTTCCCTTGCGTTCTGATTAAACTGTGAAACTCCTGAAATCCCTCAATCAAGAGTTCTTGCTCTGCTGCCGAAAAATACCGAGCGCGCCTTCGACATTTTCGCCGACCAATCAGAGGGTTGCCGATCAATGTTTCTACTATCGATGCGTAGCCCCTGTTAAGCCACCCAGTGATCTCACATTACTTCATCCAGCTGTACTGATCGTCAACAACAGGTGTGTTCGGGGAACCGGAATAGCGAGCTCAGAGTTAGCGCGATGATTTGGTCTTGGATGTTTCATTTGATCTTGGATGTAGTAAGCGAGGTACGAAGAACGGGCCCCTGGGCTTTATGTATCCTCATGCGCGCGCTTAACTTGGGGTTAAAGCAACTCCGCGTTGACTGAACTAATTGTTATCAGCCTTTCTGAAACAGAATATTCCGAGTTGGACAGTTCGGGGTTACTCAACCCTGAGTATCGTTTTTCACTCTGAGTTTTCTAAACCGGCTTCCTGAAAAAGGGCCCTGCTCTGGTGTGGCCCTCACTGGCTTCCAATCAGTGCAGCCAATCGCTGATCAATAACCAAACACATCATAACACAAATCAAGAGTCTCAAATACTGATCAGTATCTCTGCAGTCATTTCAGCTTTTAGCTGTGACCTTTGAACTGACAGCCTTTAAAGCCCTTAAACCTTTGTTACCGAGTCTGTTCCACTCAGCAGGGACACACCTGAGTCCCTCGCACTGTTGGCTATCTGCCGTTAGCACCTGACGCTGTGTCCCCAGCTGCCCTCATCGTTAGCACACCTTCATCCCGGGATGTCGCTTCCTTCGGTCTGTAGTTTGAACGATTTACCTGTCCCAGCACGTCCACACACGGAGTCTCCCTGCCATTCAGAACCCCATTGAAATAAACGCTACATTTAAGTTTCTCTGAACAACCGAAAACGTTTACAAGAGCGAGCTAGCAGCAGGAAAATGAGCTAAAAATAAACAACTGATAAGTTTATTGTTAATTGTTTTAACGCCGAATCGGTACAGAGATCTGACGTCATCGGAAAGCACTCAGACTATGCTTAAAATTTGGTCCTATTTTCACCGATTAACGGACACGATGTAAACAGCATATTTTTGAATAGAGTCTGGTTTGACCCGAACGCACGGGGAACAGTATCTTCGCAGCAGTACCTTTCACGTCCTGGGCCAGAGCCTTCCATGTGCTGGAGTACTGGATGCAGTGTCCACACCAGGACGAGAAGAACTGGATGAGCCAGGCCGAGGACGAGTTAGTGACGGCGGACTTCAGGCTGTCGCTGCTCAGGATCACCAGCGGGTCCTCCTCCGTGTAGAGCCGGCCTGCGCCTCCCAGGGAGCCGGGCACCAGGCAGAAGACCGTCGCCGCCGCTCCCAGCCAGAGCATCGCCGCCATCCGAGAACCAATACACCGCGAACAGGGAGTCAGAGAACCGCAGAGTCCGAGCCGGAAACCAGCCTCAACAGCCGGGGAGACATGAGAGGAGAGGCCCGCTGAACGTACGAAGCTCGGAGAGCAGCCGACAGAGGCCTCACTCCGAGCCTATACCGGGACACCGGCGCACGCGCAGTCTATGTGGGTCTCCGTTTGAGTGGGACAGTGTCCGTGACGCTGTGACGTAGTGGCTCGTGTTGCTTTAATAGACTATCTCCGACGAGCGTGCGCTGCGAGCCGGTCTGACGCGTTATCCCTCTGCTGCGTTCAAGAGTGCTCGGAAAAGTTAGACTTCATTGATGAGAGCCGTGCATTAATACTCAAGTACGCATGTTCGTACTCGCGTGCTTGTCCGTTCCAGTCGGTACTTCGTTCACACGGGAGTGCGGACCTCCTCTACAGCTGGAACTGCATTTAATTTAACCGTGATTAATATTTGCAATGAAAATGACACGTGATAGAATAATTACATGAACTAAACCATTTCTTTAAGAAAAAAAATGTAATTTCAATTTAAGCACAAATTCCCTTTTGCACTGCCAGTCAAGGTTGGGACACACCTTCTCATTTCAACTTTTGCTACTTTGTACATTATAGATACAAACTGAAGACATCAAATATATTTAGATATATGGCATTATGCAGCAAAGAAAAAAAATGAGAGATAACTCTAAATATGTTTTATGTTTTAGATTCCACCCTTTGCTTTGTTGACAGCGCTGCAAACCCTCGTTCTTCTTTTAGTGAGTTTCATGATGTAGTCACCTGACATGGTTTCACCTCACAGGTGTGCCTTTCACACGGGTTCAATGGTGAAATTTCTTCCCTTCTTAATGGGGTTGGGACCATCAGCTGTGTTGTCAGAGGTCAGGTTGGTACACATCTGATAGCCCTATTAATAAAACTTGAGTTGGTCCTGCGGGGCAGCAGGTGATGAAGGCGGAGACATTCATGAGGCTCCCACAGGTTGATGACAGATATCAGACTGTAAGAGAAAGCAGCGCTTGATTTATAATGCAGGAAAAAACAAAGGCATCTATTCTTCTTGTTCCAAGCTTCAGCTCGCTGTTTCACTCCTGCTTTAATCTGGTTTCTGTTGGAGTTTCCAATTCCCTACAGCCTGTGAAAGCAGCGTGGCTCTCTGCCGCCCCCTGCAGGCCGAGCAGCAGAACAACCGGAGGTCCTGAAGGTGTACTTGGTTGGATTGGCAGGCAAAGATCAGCTCTGCTGAATGTTAAAATGAGCGTGCGTACTGTCACAGCTGTTCAGAGGTGTGCCGATGGAAGTTGAGCCATGGCGCTCACCAACACGTTAGTGATGACGCCGCTTCAGACTCGCAGGCAAACCAAGCTCTGCCCTCCGCTTTTTCACCACTGCTGGTCTGCAGGGTGAAATATTCATGTTTGTAGTTTTGATCATTTCTGATCTGTGACCCCTCACTGAAACAAGCTTCATCAGTATCTGACCAGTGGGGCACTGGGGGAGCCTGGGCTGCAGACTGGAGGACCCGGCCTTTGAACCCTCAAACTCTGAAACAATCAAAACAAACAAAAGTACTACAAATACTGCTATAAATATTACTACCAGTACTACAAAATAACCGGGGGACGGTTTGTGGTCAGTGTCATGATAGGTATGAATAGTTACTGATTCAGATGTAGTTCATGTGGAAGCCCGGTACTCAGATACTCAGATACTATGACGTACAGCTTCCAGTAACACAATCCGTCGATGCTTCCAAAAGTGGCTTCGGTGCTGTCTTACTACAAGATGACCATCCAGCTGCTTACCCATCCACTCACTGACGAACTGAGCAGCGTTACGCACAAAGAGAGAAAGAGATGCTAGCAGTGCAGAACGTTTCCATCAGTACGAATATGGAAGAGAAGTGAACGTGGAGACAGATCAGAAACTACTATGTACAGTCTCATTAGGAATACAGACTCCTAATGAGACTGCAAAAATGTCAGGTACATGTTGTATGCTCACCTTATTACTAAATTAGGCAGAGCACTCTGAATTGAATCAGGACATAAAGCACGGTCTTTATGTTGCTTTATTGAACACTGTCCATCTTACAACTAGCCACTTAACGGGGCTTCCCTCGGACAACAACAACATCCGGTTCAAAGGTCATCACCTTAAGACATAGCCATATCAATACATGACAGTACAGGTTCAGTACAAGCCAGGAAATGAAATGTACATCACATGGAGGGGGGGGCTTTAGCTCAGGAGGGAGGGGCAGGTCACCTACTGATCACAAGGTTAGTGGTTCAGTCTGCATGTCAAGTATCCTTGGGCGGATACTAACCCCAAGTTGCTCTGTGTCTGAATGGAGTTAGGAATCACTAAGTATAGAAAGAAAGTGCTATATAAGAATCAGTCCATTTACCATTTACATCACAGACATGTTATCCAGAGATAATCTACCAGTGACCAGCTCACCTGATGATGACATAGAAGCTCAGGTGAACACGATGATCTTACCTGTGTCAAGTGCAAAACTAGAAGAATTCAGAAAGGAAACTAGGAGTGATGTGATTGTGACTAAACGTACAGAGACAGTTCTGGATCGAACAACAAGCTGCAAAATACATTCAGTCATACTGGAACTACAGGGAACAGATTTCAGTAGTGGGTGGAGTTCTGTTCAAAGGACAGCAGCTCATCGTTCCTGCGGCGCTGAGAGCAGAAAGCTAAAGCACACTCACGACGGTCACTTGTTTATTAAGCGCTGCAGACGCAGAGCGAGAGAAGTTCTGTTTTGGCCTGGAAATCACAGAGTATCACTGAGATGTGAACAGCTGTGATGTGTGCAGCACTCAGCAGAAACAACAGACCAAAGATCCACGACATCCACACAGAAACACCCTGGCAGGAGATACGTGTGGACCTTTGACCTCCTCTGAGTGGATTACTATTCCAATTTCACTGAGGTTGAGTGGCTGAAGTCAGACACAGGAAGTGCAACAGTCATCACTTATGACTTGGAATCCCTGAAACAGTGATTTCAGATAACGGACCGGAGTTCAGCTCCCTGGAAGACTTTGCAAAAAAGTGGGAGTGTCTCACAACACAACAAGCCCCCACCACGCACAGTCAGACGGGGTGGAGGAGAGAGGAGCACAAACAGTGAGACTCTTGTTAAAAAGGCAAACGCTGAGGGAACAGATCCTTATCTGTCCTCACTCTGATCTCTGTTGGAGGACGTTGGAGCGTCATCGGCCCGGTGTTCCAGATCAACTGGCGTTTAGATCAACTGGCGTTGGTCGAACAGATGTGTGGCAGTCTTGCGTTTCAGTAGCTCCTACCGACAAACCAGCAAAAAAACGCCAAATGTGTCATCTGTGACACTTGTGAGGTTATCTCAAACACACTCCGTCAGTCTTGATGCTGTTGAACAACAAAATGTTTAAAATGTGGCGAGTTTACCTGGTGATATCCTCATGCGTGACGCGATCGCGAAAACAGCAAACAAGTAACACCACGCCGATGTTGTTCACAGGACAGCAAGAGTAAACGATCGGGAGACTCTTGTCGTCGTTATCGTTCCACTCGCACGGTTTATTTCACCGAATTCAGCGTTTTTGCTTCACAACTAAAGCGAGCAGTTTACTTTGTGCACTAACATGGAGTCGAGTCAACCAGCGCCACCTCTGGCCAAGTGCCACAGCCTACAGCCAGATCAACCTGTGACACACATCTGCACCACGTTTGATTTCGTTTCTTGCACAACACATTTGTACCTTTCAATTGTGTCTGTTTGTGAATCATGCAAATAAACCTTTGAAATGAATGAAATGATATCATATATTCCTTATTGGCCTACATTTGTACAAAATTCCAAATTATATACACAAAGTCATAGAAATCACCACTCCAATTGGTCATCATGATTTTGATATTCTCTTTTCCCATAACAATGAAATACACCTTGGACAAATATGACACATCGATATTTCATTAGTGTCGTCACATCACATCCTGTAAGCATCATCTGCCTGTGTCCTTTCCCTGGAAATTAATATTTCCAGCCAATACAGGCAATCCATCAACATGGCTGGAGAGTTGGTAGTTATATATAAAGTCAGTGACTCAGGTGTGTCGCTTGGTTTGTCATCTGTTTGTGAGACTGGAGGAGACGCAATCTTTTGTTTTAAATCTTAGTTAGGAAGGTTCCTGTTTTAAAACAAGCACGTATTGTGAGAAATGCAAGAAGTACATCTGCAGAAAGTACACAGTTACATTCTGTCCATCATGTGGACAAAATTGAAAATGTTGAGCATTGAAAAACTGAGAACGCTGGGCAAGTTCAAAAGAAATGTGTTTGTAAGAACGAAAAACCAAATTGTTCCTAAAATAGTTATGGAAAGTCTAACTGTTGTATGTCTGTGTTCTACATGTTTATCTGATGGGAAATAAAGTTGCTATTGTTTCATTGCAGTTTTTGAACAATTCTGAGTGGATTTACACAGTACGGATCTAAGTGACCCGCAACAAAATCAATGTCATTTTTTTGTTCTTCAACATAATACAAGGGTTCATTTCCAA